TACGGGAGACCGGCCCAGGTCTCAAAAAGGTTGCCTGTCCCTGCTATACTTCCTATGTCCCAGTAATTTCATTAGACACACATGTATCTTGAAACTTTCCAGTGCTTCTCTTTGGTTAAATTGAGGCCAAATCTATACATTCATTCTATTCCAATTATCACTTTCTAATCAAGCCTTTTCTTCAACAATGCATATAGTCAAACAGAAGGAAACAGTGTAATAAATCTAAGTATACATTTCAAAATACAATGAGTCAGCCATTCCCTTGCCAGAGTAGACATAAGCCATGGCAACTGGACTTTCTTGGGGTTTGTCATAGCATGCTTCCCCTAATAATGTAGAAGTTACTTTGGTGTAAAATCCCTTCTACAGTTTTAGGCAATAAGACTCCAGGGAAGTTTCCAGATGGAGGGCTCCCCATGCTAACAGTTAGAAAGCACAGTGCAGTTCCTTCTTTATTTTCTTCTCAATGGGTTTTTTACAGTAAGTGAAAAGACAGAACTGAGAGGGAATAAAGAAAGAAAGGTTACATGTGGAGGTTGATGACATTTGGAGTCTGCATAAAATTTAGTGATGCAGGGCAATGGTGTGAAAACAGCTTCATCTGGAACCACACCACCATTTCAGAAAAGCTGAAAGATTACCATTCAGAACATGTTTCTACAAGTGTATGGGATGGATAATAAATAATAAAATAAAATAAAGCAGTTAAACTCTATTGGGGATAAACAAGGAAGTAAAACAGATTCTGGCAACCTAGTGAACCACTGAAATCTAGCAGAACACAAATGGGAAAAAAAAATCAATTCTAGTCCTGGCCACCAAGTTGAAGGTGTGCTAAAGATACACAGCACTGTCCTTTGCCAGACAGGAACATGACATGACTAATAAAGTGAAATGACATTTATTGATTCCTAAATGGAAGATCAATATATCTTGTTCCTTTTAGCTGTAGTCTTCTTTATTGTCATTTGAATCCATTTTTTCTTGGGAACATCAGCAAACAAACTTGCTCTGTCTTTTGCAGGGGTAGGCAACCTAAGGCCTGGGGGCCGGATGTTGTCCCCTGAGGCCTTTGGACCAGCCCCAGGCCAGTCCTGCCGCCCCTCCGCTCCCCGCTGCCGCTGCCCCCCGCCATGATGATATTTATTATTGTTGTTATTACTTGTTCTTGGGGTTTTCTTGGCAAAATCTTCACAAGGATTTTGCCATGGCTTTTCTGGGGCTGAGAGTCTGTGCATGCATATATATTTTTAATTTTTTTAATTTTTAATTTTATTTATTTATTTATTTATTTATTTTTGGTGCTTCAGCCCCCCAATTGTGTGAGGGACAGCAACCCAGGCCCCTGCTCAGAAAGGTTGCCTACCCCTTGTCTTTTGTGTGAGATCCTTCAGATATTTGAAGATGGCTTGCATAACACTTTCCAGTACTCTCTTCCCTAGGCTTAAGTAACATATTCAGCTTCAAGGTTTCAGTGGTCTTGGTTTCCAAACTTTCACCATCCCTCTTGGACATGTTCTCGCTTATTGATATCCTTCCTGAAATGAAGTGTCCTGGATTGGACACAGTGTTCCAAATGAGGCCTGACTAAAACAGAAGAAAGTAATAGTATTACTTCCCTTTATTGGGAACTACACTTCACTTGAAAAAGCCAAGAATTACATATATACATATATATATATATATATTTGCTGCTGCTGCTGCTGCATCACACTTTGACTCATGGCTTGTGGTCTACTAAGATGTCTAGATCCTTTTCACACATAGTTCTTTCAAGGCAGGTATCACCTAGCTTATATTTGTGCATTTGTGTTTTCTTGTCTAAATGTAGAAACTCCCATTCATCCCTGCTGAAATTCACTTTATTAGTTTTGGTGCAGTTTTCCAGCCTGTGGTCATCTTGAATCTTGATTCTGTCATCTGAGTTATTAGGTATCCTTCTAGTTTGATGTCACCTGAAAATTTGATGAGCATGCTCTCTATTTCATAATCCAAATAATTCATAAATATGTTGAACAACATCAGGCCTGTGGAAAAACAAAACAAAACTGTGAGGCATTCTGTTTGTCATTCCCTCCCAAGAGGAGGATTAAAGTGGTGTAATGGTTTGAATGTTGGACAAGGGCTCTGGAGATCAGGGTTCAAATCCCTGCTTGGCCATGGAAACCCACTGGGGGGACCCTGGACAAGTTACATTCTCTCAGCCTCAGAGGAAGGCAAAGGTAATCCCCTTTGAACAAATCTTGGTAAGAATACCCAATTATAGGTTTGGCTTAGGGTCGCCATAAATCAGAAATGGCTTGAGAGTGCAACAACCCAGGATGAAGAGCAACCATTGGTGAGCATACTTTAGCTTTAGTCCATTCAACATGTACACATCTACCTATCAGTATCATCATATAGCCCAGATTTTATCAGCTTGTCTGAAAGATTAACCTGTTAAAAGCCTTACTGAAATCAAAATAAAAACAACAACCATCCACTGAGCACTTGGAGATGTACAACTCTGGGTTATAGCTCTCAGAATTCCCCAGCATAAACAGCCACCAGCCCAAAGTAACTTTCCCACAAACTCTGTGTTTCTTATAGTTTTAAAAAAAATCTTTGGAAGCCATGGGTTGGGTTTTTTTATTTTTGGTTAATTGATTCTAATGGGAAAGTTAAGAAAGGAAAGGAGCTTTTTCTTTTGAGCATACTTTCAGTAAGTGCCCTCTCCAGGGATTATTAATGAGAAAAAAGGTTGTTAAATAGAAAATTAACCTGACTCAGAACCCCCACACACAACATAGTGCCTGCATCCAAAATGTGTACCTGAGTGAAAAGAAACCCATCACTGCATTTTAAAATTAATTACCTTATTAGGTGGAAAATTACTCATATAGAATTATTTCCCAAATAATTGAGACAATCTTTTCATAATAGTCTAGCCTCAGTCTCTCTGCTGCTCACAGTATGAAGTAAAAATTTTTTGTGAAACAAAGCATGTTCACAGCACTGTAATTACTAATGCAATGGCATATAAGCAGAGCAGGGTAATAATCCCAAAATTCTAGGATGGTCACAAATTAGTGCAAATTGAGTCCACTTTAACTGCCCTGGCTCAGTGCTAGGGAATCATGGTAATTGTATTTTTTTTCTGAGACATTGAGCCTTCTCTGTCAGAGAGCTCTGGTGCCACAATAAACTACAGTTCCCATGATTCCCTAGCACTGAGAGTCAGGGCAGTTAAAGTGGACTCAATTTGCACTATTCCTGGTAGTCTGCAAAGGCCCAAATGTCTTCTACACTGACTTTTGGCCTTGTCTACATGTTCTGGTTCCAGATTCCCTGTGGGTCTGTGTTTGCACCCCATGGATGTAGAGGGGAAAAGAGGAGTTAAAAGTCTTCTATGATGACTCTACTGTAGCTGATAGATGCCAGGAGTGAATCTTTTATGGTGAATCTTCAACAGAAGGATGGGAGCATGTGGTGTTTCCTAATGGCTTGCCTCTAGGATCTTTAAGTGCATCTATACTAGTCATTTAATTTAAGGCCAGTCCAGAGCAGAATGAACCAGGCAGAATTTGTGCAATCCCATGTCATTGTGCACAGGGGCCAGCTGGGCTGACACCTGCCCCTCTCAGAACTGCCACAACCACCACTGCCATGTTGCTGGCCAAGCATCTTCCTGCGAGAGCCTGGCCATTGCTGTTGTTTCTGCTGAGGTCAGAATGGGATGGCCTGCCGTGTGATCAAAAAGTGGGTTGCTCTATGCCTTCCTTGTTGATTGCATAGATGCTTCATTCTGAGCTCAGCAGAAGTGATGACAATGGTTAGGTTCTAGCAAGGAGCTCTTTAGCAGCAGTGGCAGCTCTTAAACCAAATTCATTACTTAAATCAGTAGTTTTGCTGCAGATGTCATCTGGACAGATTGCACCGGGACCAGAGTGAGTCCAGTGTATATCCTTAGTGTAAATAAGCCCATTAAGATTGGGCTGGACTGTCACTGAGCCTCTTTTGGCCCATGCTTTCCCTGCCTATCTTCTCTGTGCTCTTGGAATTAAGGCATTGCCATAACTGCATGACAACTTAATTTTTTTGTGGTTATCATTAATGCATGCTAACTCATTATCATAACTGTGTGTGCTGTTGGCATTGAGCAGGTTCCATTCATGTGGCATTGAGCAGGTTCCTGAGAGCTGGGGCTGAAGAGGTGCATTGCTAGTCCAGGGACAATTGTTTCTGCTTTGGTAGTGAAAGGTGAGTGTGTATTTAATCATGTTGCCTTAGGACTCCAAATGTCATCATTTCTGTGATATCTTGGCTATCAAGTGGGCTAGGGTATGAATTGGGCACAAGGCAGGGTCTCAGATGACTGGATCCTTGCCCTATGATGTATCCAACAAAGTGATGGGCAGTTTCAATCCATTCCCAGTTCTGTCAGTCCAATTTGTTAAGGCTTTTTTCCTTTCTCCCCTTAGCGCCCACCACTGCTGACTTTATGTTACTCAGTATTTCTAGTCAAGGGGCATGCTGAGAGAACACTAGCAGCGAGGAGGACCAGCGGAGGCTCCCTAGCCCTTCCTTCCAGCTGGTCCCTTTAACATCCCTGGGACTCCAGAGGCCCTGGTGAGGCTATTT